AGTTGTTTCATAAGACAAACAATTAGTATATTAAAGGAAAGCGCTGGGATCTGCGCGAGGATTTTTCTGGTTTCTATAGCGCACTGTTAGCCAAACACCGATAAACTAGTTGTAGAGAACAAACACAACAGTTAATTAGGGTTTACTATACTTTTTTGTATAATATAAATGGTTTATATAAATGACATATAAATAGTGAATCAAACGGTGTATACCTCTGTGAAACTGAAGAACAAACCAACGAATCCTGAGATCTCCAATGCGTTAGCGATCGCTTTCTTGATCTTCGGGGCACACATTTCACAGTCATTTGAACAGTCGTTTAGATCAGTGCAACACTTCACCTATCATTCAATATAAATCAATATTCAATATAATCGACTATTTAACAAATAAGTGAATCAATTGGACAAACATTTGGACAATCGGTAATATTAAGAGTTCTCGTTTCTTCCTTCTCATAACCGCAACAATTGTAAAATGTTTGGGCGCTTTGTTGAGTCTTTTTGGACGCAGTATTCCAGCCCTTATGAGCCAATTGTGACTGTTGTTCACTACCGAACGCCAAACAGGCGCAGGCGATACTGAATTGTACCACAAACAGGATAAACAATATAACCATATACTGTAATGATTCACGCGTGGTATTAGTTAATCTCATAATTATATTGTAATATTCATTAGTAATATGGAAAATACTAACGAAAAATAGGAGAACTTGATGGTGTTTTCGGGCGCCGACCAGTCCTACCAATGATAATAGGAATAGGAATACTCCACAGGCAATAATGCCCCCGATTATGGCAATACTGGTCACTTTGCTGGCAGCCATTCCATACGCGGCCACACCAACCAATATAAATGACACCAACTATTCATATCATATAAACCATTATTATTTTATTACAAAATAATTAATATTTAATAGTATTGATAGAATTGTAATATAAATTGCAATCACTTACGATATATAGTATATTAAGTGCTGTCAACGCATTCTTAGTACATGTGAATCCGCCGCACATTTTGAATGAATGTGAATTTAAGTCAAATGTTTGGTTGAGTTAATTATTTTCAATTCAAGGAATATTAATGTAAATTTCTGTTATCAACACGAATCTCATATACAGTGTAAGTCATTCATTCAATACACTNTGAACGTCAAAGACATAACAAAACTCGAAAATATTCACTCAAAATAGCGATCAAACAAACGCTGTTTTTGGTACTTATAAACAGCTGTCACTGAATTGGTTCCCACTTCTTGTAGAGTTTGTCTTTTTATGTCTCCATCAAAATAAACATCTGTTAATCAATTATTTTTATTCACTTTAATCCCAAAGTATACTACAAATTATAGAGTTGTGGAAACAATAGTCATATTTAGTGTATTGAATGAATGACTTACACTGTATATGAGATTCGTGTTGATAACAGAAATTTACATTAATATTCCTTGAATTGAAAATAATTAACTCAACCAAACATTTGACTTAAATTCACATTCATTCAAAATGTGCGGCGGATTCACATGTACTAAGAATGCGTTGACAGCACTTAATATACTATATATCGTAAGTGATTGCAATTTATATTACAATTCTATCAATACTATTAAATATTAATTATTTTGTAATAAAATAATAATGGTTTATATTATATGAATAGTTGGTGTCATTTATATTGGTTGGTGTGGCCGCGTATGGAATGGCTGCCAGCAAAGTGACCAGTATTGCCATAATCGGGGGCATTATTGCCTGTGGAGTATTCCTATTCCTATTATCATTGGTAGGACTGGTCGGCGCCCGAAAACACCATCAAGTTCTCCTATTTTTCGTTAGTATTTTCCATATTACTAATGAATATTACAATATAATTATGAGATTAACTAATACCACGCTTGAATTGTTACAGTATATGGTTATATTGTTTATCCTGTTTGTGGTACAATTCAGTATCGCCTGCGCCTGTCTGGCGTTCGGTAGTGAACAACAGTCACAATTGGCTCATAAGGGCTGGAATACGGCCTCCAAAAAGACACAGCAAAGCGCCCAAACATTTTACAATTGTTGCGGTTATGAGAAGGAAGAAGCGAGAACTCTTAATATTACCGATTGTCCAAATGTTTGTCCAATTGATCCACTTATTTGTGAAATAGTAAATTATATATTGATTCCTATTGAATGATAGGTGAAGTGTTGCACTGATGTAAACGACTGTTCAACTGACTGTGAAATGTGTGCCCCGAAGATCAAGAAAGCGATCGCTAACGCACTGGAGATCTCAGGATTCGTTGGTTTGTTCTTCAGTTTCACAGAGGTATACACCGTTTGATTGCTAATTATATGTCATTTATATAAACCATTTATATTATACAAAAAGTATAGTAAACCCTAATTAACTGTGTGTTTGTTCTCTACAACTAGTTTATCGGTGTTTGGCTAACAGTGCGCTATAGAAACCAGAAAAATCCTCGCGCAGATCCCAGCGCTTTCCTTTAATATACTAATTGTTTGTCTTATGAAACAACTCCTACTTCTAGTCGACTCTATTCCGGTTCTCTTCAGTCAAATAATCTGATTCTTGTCTCTGAAATGACTTAATCCTGAAATCAATTTTCAAACAAAACTAATAATTTTCTCTCACTTTTTTCTAATATGATTGTCATTAACACTATTATGTGATGTTTTGCTCGACATTCCGTATTATATTTATTAATTTAATTTATTGTTTTAATAATAATATTTGTATTTTTCCCAAACATTATTGCAGTTGATATCTGTTTGGTTTGCATTTAAATTTCGTGGACTTCGAAACCCAGAATTAAATCCTTACCGTTATTTCCAAACATGAAATTCTAGTCATTTTGTTTTGAAATAATTGAGATTTTATTATTGTATAAATTTATATATTTATGTATTAAAATTTAGTTTGACTATTGATTTACTCATTAATAAATTCATTTCAATTATAAACTGTTTTACAAACTATTTTTGTTTTATTTTTCATGTTTAAAACAATAAAGTTTTACTTGTCTTTGTGTTATAACTGATTATAATATCTATTTATCTGTAATTCATTATTGTATTTCATTTTTCGCAAACAAGTGATAATAAATGTGACAATTATTTTGATGAATTGATTTTAAGATAATTTAATAAACCGATTCTCATGAGTCATAGGATGAGAAATACAAAGCTTGTATTATTATTGGCTTGTATTACTTGGTCAATTATTCATTCCGAATTAATTATTATTTAAATGTCTGTATATTTATATCAAAATAAATTATTGCAGAGTATTTTATTCTTCATCGTTCATTTTCTTATAATCGGGTCTAACTGTATAAAATTTAATAACATTGATAAATTTAAAAATGATTAATTTAATTGCAGAATATGAAACAATTTATAATGAATTAGTTTTTAAGTGTTCTATTATGTATAATTAGTAAAAATAAAAAATTATATAGCTTAATTTTGATTTATAAACTATGTTAATTTTTTCCCATAGTAAGTAAAAATACAAGGATTTTTGTTTTATACATTGAATAATACCAAGCTTCAAAAAGTGTCTTGGTCCAACCTTAGTCTCACCATGTGTATTCTTACAATACACTAACAAATGGCATTCACAGTAAGATTGCATTGAATTCCAATTCTTGTTGAAGTCATGCATTGTTTGCCCTTTAAATGCAAACATTGAGAGACCTCTATATTCGCGACACACATGTCATCACTGTTTCACTGTTTCCCACATTTTTAGTCATTTTTGATAATTTTTATATATTTTTATTTTTATTGTTATAATTAATCACATCTGAAGATAATTTGACGACATATTTGTTCATAAGTTATCACCAAAAATGAACGGTCAGTCTGTGTTATCGTACGAAGACTTTGTGTCTTTGCATTCAAACCAATTGCAGGCATCAGAAGTGCCGCAAATATTTTGGCCAAAACTTTATGACAAACTTTTGGCCGATTCTTTGGATTCTGGACTCGACTTCAGAATCGATGCAATTGTTTACAACGAAGACGACGACGAAGATGTGGACGACGTGCCGCATAGGAACGGCTCATCTGATCCACAACCCAATGATACCATTAATATTGATGCGAACCGACGAGTGAGCGATACTCAGCGCTCTTATCGTGTCGTTTGCATCAAAGAAGAGGGAATCGATGTCTTGAGTGACACCACATGTGATGCCATTTATCTAATCGATCACATGATTACCTATCGTTGCGATCAAATCCACGATATATTGCTTCAGACAAATGGTCTGATCGAAAGGTTAAGCGATTTGTTTGAACTCAAGTTCGATGACATTGAGGACAGGGAACTAATGGCCAGAACTATAGCAAAAGAGTTGTGGAAATGGAATCAATGCTATTCTATAGAGTCATCGGAAGTGGAAAATTCATTACCGGTTTGGTATTTGATGGATGAGTTCGGGAGTCGTATTCAGCACTCAACTGATCCCAACTTCCGTTGTGTCCCCTTTTACTTCATCCCCAGAGGTATCGCGTATTCACTTCTCTTTCCCATTAAATCGGTTTCGTTTGGCGAAGAAGTGACCCGTAATTACATCGAGGGATCACTAAATGATGAGTTCACTGAAAATCGTGATCTTTTGTCGACTGCTTTAATGCATCCGTGGATTGGATGTGATTTGTCAGAAGTGGACGCAAACCAAACCGAACCCAACATTGCATTCATTAGACGCGGAAGAGTTGAAGAAAGTTATGTTTCCATGGATTCCAC